TCTGTTATGTCACACACAGAAATAGTGCAGTATGTACTGTAGTTGTGTAAATAATCAGAGCCACTTTAAAAGCGTCCAGATCACAGATCACTGATCACAGATCACCATGCAGTGATTTAATCTAAAGGGTTCCTCTATTAAAGTAATGTAATCTGATCACTTTCAGTTACTTTCAGATTACTTATCTTTAAAAGACACACGATTAAATACAGACCAGAGAAAAGAATTTAAAATAACAGCGAGTTTATCTGAACAGAAGGCCAACAGCAGAACTGCACTGTTTGATTATGACATCACACAAACAGTCACTGATCTCTCAGTTAGCCAGCAAAGTGGAGCAATAATGTGTAAATTCAGCTTAAAGCTGAGAAATGTGTACATGCTTAAAGAAGATGGTTCATCAGGTGAAAATTTCACCACTGAAACATTTAGTAGAGTTTGGTAGTTATGATTGATTTGGAATGTTCAATCATTAGTTTTAATAAAATAATCATAATTAAGATGAGGGTCAATCAAAGCAAAGGGATTTCAGTCCAAGATCAGTTAAAAGTCCCAGATGTGTTTCAGCTCTGACTCTGAATCAGTTCAGTGGAATTCTATATGTATATATCTCTCTCTGTATGTATATAAGCTCTTCTGTCCTCTCAGCCTCCTCTAGCCACTCAAAACACCTCGCCCAGCTCAATGTTTCATTGCTGTGGGCTCTTTAAAGCATTTCAAGGGTCTCTGTTACCAATTTCCCGAGTTTGACACAGAATTTGATGCTTGCTAACGGCTCAAGTTTGAGATCCATGGTAAAATCACAAATGCGCACCTGCAGGTGGTCACAAAACCGCAGGAAACACAGGTCCTGATGTTGATCGCAAGATGTAATGTGGAACACTGACTCAGGAAAGTTAGTGTGCCTCGTATCAATCGTGTATCAATTTCATTCCACAATAAATTATAATGATCACTTTAAAACTTGCCTCGTGTGACAAATATGCAAAAACAGAGAGAATCAGGAGGGGCCAATACTTTTAAACATTCAAACCAGCATAATACTGTGAGTGTATGTGTGTGTGATTTATTGCTGCTGTCTCCTGTGTGTGTGTGTTTGTGTGAAACTGGAGATCCTACTCACCCCCCCACCCCCCCCCCACCCCCCCCTCAGATCACACCGTGGTGTACGCAGAAATACATTTTTGAGCAGGCCTGTGAAAAAGCGGGTGGGCCGACGTGGTGGATACACTTTCAAACACACTAATGTCCCACAGAGTGATGACATCACGCTAAAACTGATTTTCATAATCCATTCATGGTGGAGGGATACATGCAGGGCGCTGTGAGGCAAAATAGTCCCCAAAGAAAACTTATTATTTCAGATTTTCCACTATTTTCCATCATCAACATTCCATATAAACTCAGAAGACTCGTGTAGGTTCACTGGTGGTTCTGGATAGTAAATAAAATGTCTATATCTGTGTTGTAGTCATGGTGTAAAACACTACCATAATCTGATGACAAGAGTTTTGAGAAAAATGTTTACTTTTGTGGCTAAAATCAGGCCGATGTGTAGTGTCCTGACTCGGTCCACCTTAAACTTAAAACAAGAAAATTACAGAAAAACGTTTGATTGTATGCGGTGATGTTGGCTGTAAATCCCCAAACTAAGGGCAATGAAACAGTGCATTAACTAAAGACTGCAAGGTAGATGTTCAGCGTAAACGGAATAACGGCTAAATTAAACGTCTGCTACTTGTTTCTGCAGTAATAGTGGTGCATAAATCAAGTAGCTCCTCCCATCTCTGTCATTTATACTGAGGTTCCTTCTCCTGTGTGAACCTATCATAAACATTACAGACATTCTAAGGTAAACTGGTGTTATGGTGAAGTTATCTCAGGTTAATTCTGAATACATGACAGAGCAAAAGAATTCATGGAAAGCTATAATCTTTCTTTTACTTCTTTTTTATTATTCATTGCAACCAGCAGCAGCAAAAACACACAGAACATTAAGATACTGTACACCACTGCGGCAGTTACATTGTTCCACCAGAAGGGGCTCCAAATCTGCAAAATCATATAGTGCAGCTTTTACAGCAGGGGTGACCAAAGTCCAGCCTGCAAGCAGATTTTAATTGGCTCTTTAAGTGTCTTCTGTTTTAGAGTGTGTTATGAGTGGCCCACCAGCCAGTTCCCTGCAATTCCTCCTCTCACCTGATGGTGGCAGCAGCTCTGTAATGCTCGGTAACAGCAGAACATTACAGTAAATATTCAAAAGAGAAACTAAAGCAGCTGCAGCTCCGAGTCTCACAGCACCGACTTCTTATCAGAGCAGATTCAGCAGCTCAGGAAATATTAACCCTTTAAGGAGGAGCAATAACGGCTGATTAGGATTAATCTGATCTCCTTTAATACAGTGATTTATAACTGAGGTCTGGGCATTTATCTGATACGTAAAGAACATTTGTGAGGTCAGACACTGATGCTGGACGAGAGGGTCTGGCTCACAATCTCC